TTACGGTTGTGAAGTATGGGGGGTGAAGAAGTATGATAAAATAGAGCAGGTGCACGTTAAATTCTGCAAGGCCGCCTTGAACTTTGGTAGAACATCCGCAAATATTTTGGCAATTGGGGAATTTGGACGTCATTATTTGTATGCCACTTATCATCTACGAGCAATAAAATATTGGTATAAATTACTGGTAATGGTTAATAATAGGTATGCTGAGAAATGTTATTTGCAAGCGTATGCACATGACTAAAATAATCGCTACAGCTGGGCCACTGACATGACATGAGGAAACTTTTATGTACAATGGGGTTTGGATATGCGTGGTTTTTTCAAAATGTTGGTGATGAGAATATTTTCCTACCCCAAGTCAAGGAAAGACTTATAAATATTACTCACCAGAACTGGCGTTCTAGGGTGTCTGACGTTTATCCTGAGTACCTGGACTTCCGCCTTATGTTAAGCCCTGCACAGTACCTCTAATTCACCATCTCTGCAAGAGGTAGAAGGATCCTTGCATTACTCAAAACTTTCAGTTTGTGGTTGAAAAAGAATTTGTTCCGGTTGGGTATTGTCGACAGTAATCATTGCCTCCAGTGTGATGAAAAGTATGTAGAAAATGAGTTCCATGTATTGTTCAGATGTTCACAATATAATGACGAGAGCAGCTTTTACCAGAGTGCGTCAGACTTCAGACACCCGAAGGGCCAGTGTCTAAGCTCAATGGCATATTAGTCTGTTCAGATGAAGTCCATTCTAAAAACATAATCTCATTCCTAAATTATTTTGTTATACGGACACGTCTGTCCTAGGGAAAAGGTATTCATTCGCATATGTAACTCTGTATCTACTGTAATATGTACTATTTTATACGCATATATGATATGTATGAAAAAGACAATGGTATTCACTTCTCAGAGTGAAACATGTCCCGATTTCTCACGCTGTCTCATTCATAGCACTGTGTGGAAGTTCTATTTATGTTTGCTCTTATGTATGTATGTATGTATGTATGTACGTATGTACGTATGTACGTATGT